CTCAAAACCGATTTGACAGTTGAAGATGTTTTTCTGTAAGCTACATTAATTCTACGACAATCTCAAAATGCATCGTTTTGGGGTTTTCTCATAGGAAATGGTTGTCATTTTTGAGCTTTTCGCAAAGTCGATATAGTTCAGTGCAAGAGCATCATGAAGAGCTCGAAGATGTCTTATTTTGTAGAGCACTAGTTGCTATACCATCCTATGCAATCAAGACAAACTATTATTATGAGGTTCAGGGTGTAGAAAAACTATGTCTTATTTTCTAGATATCGTGGATTTTGAGAACATGTTACGGGCTTTATTGTCCTCAAATATTTATTGAAAATAAATGTCTTCATTGAAAACACTATTAGGATTCTTTATGCCAGTTATCATCGCAAAAATAATCGAAACTACACCTGTAGGATAAATTCCTGAACTACTGTATACAAAGGAACTGCGTTTATTCGACAAATTTCCGAAATTTACTACAATTACGCAAAATCTTCACACGGATAATCTCTTTCGACATTTACGGTCCTATCGATGATATTTATGAATCTGAGCGATAAATTGCTCGTATTATTGTGTGTAAGACCATAATCGTAGAGGCTAGGTATCACCATTGTATAGAAGATAACATAATTGTGAGGATTTTTTCGTTTGCAATGCATCAGCTTTTAGTGAGAGTACCGCGCTCGATTAACTTCATCATTATGAAAAACAGATGGACAATGCTGCAACATGAGAGTTAAGACCGATTAAATTCATTCTAATCCTAATTTCAATAGTAGCAATTCAAGGGGTGAGTGCGACAATTAATTGACTTCTTTAAAACAGAGAGACTCACAGTAAGCATCGGAAAGTTAGGGTGCAATCAACCAATGGCTTCAGTTGTATGGATGCAATTGGTGGTTGGTTTACCATTATTGAATCGAGAATATACTTGATTGAACAATCAAGTCCTTCCGTGTATTCCATTATCGTACATTCATTCTCAAAGATTTATTCAGTTTCCTTGAAGTTGATCTATTCGTATTTACCTATCCATCATCAAAACTTTTCCCGCCAAAAATTTTCAAAATAAAATGAACTTTCTGAAATATTCAAATGAAACATCTAATCACGTTTGTGTCGAGAATTAATTTGAAGCAAACAGGTAAATGTCGAGTACCAAATTTTGACCCGCGTAGGATGCGTATTTATACTTGAGAAATATCGTACTCTCCTACATCTGGTTCAATCTCCAAAATGCTTCAGGTTCAGTGGGTAACAAGTTCTCGCATCTTGATTGATATTTCATTCATCTAATGATAGACACGATCCGTAAAAAGAAAAGAAGGATCTGACTTAGCAGTTCCCAAGACTCCGTTAACTTTTTGTAGTTTCTCAAGAAAATCTTTCTCCACAAGGTTATTTTTATGTTTGTAGGGGGCGAACGTTTCGAAGACACCTCAATAAGTATCGAATAGATTATAGCTGGCGCAAATGCGAACTACCTAGTATCTTTTGTACAAGAACTCTTGAAGTGATATGGTATAGATCCTGGTTTTGATAAATTGGTCGGTAGCACACGACGCAATTATATCGATAAGAACCTGAAGAATAGGTTGGATATAGTAGAAATTGGTTGATTGTTCGATAAAACGGCAAATGGAAAAGAACCAAGACATCTTCTTAGAATATAAACTGTTGAGACCGGCTGTTATTAGCTATTGAATATACATCTGGCGCAAGCACAATTGAAAGAGACAAGATCAGTGAAAGTTGAAGTCAATAAATATTCTGCTTGAATAGCTGGTATCATCGCGCATCAACTCTAATTAGAACGGTTTAGCTTCTGTGTGCCAATAATAATGGCACGTCTCATCTTCACCTTTTATCCGCTCAATCATATAAGGTCATCCGGTCACTGTTACTTCAGACACTGTGAGCTCATTGACCGATCGTATTTGTTGCTTACACTGCTCGCTATTAATTATTTCTGTCTCCTCATTTCTCTCTCCTATATAAGGTTGTGTTCTATGTAAAATGGACAGAGCTGGAGTGATGAAGTAGTGTAGTGAACATCATACACCGAGGATAGCGGTAACGCTACTTCTCCAGTTTCTCAATGTTGATCAACAATAAAGTAAATGCTGCAGTAATAACGAAATAGTCTATCTAATATTTCGTTACATCCTGCAGCGAATGTTATCGTGAAATGAGTATAAGTAAGAGCGAACTCTCCAGTTATACCAAAAGTTCACACGATGACACAATCAGTATTTTATGCACCTACATTATTTTCAATCCTCGAAGTGGATTGGGCCTCGAAGAGATATCAATCTTTCCACAAGAAAAAAGAAGTTTTGATCATGCCATACACGACCTTAAAGATTAAGATGTGGCCGATGTTGATGAAAGCGACACTGGTATCAGAGCTGAAATAAAGTTAAAGGAATACGAACTCTGATAATATGAATGGAGTACATTGTGAGCTTTCTTTTCCATAGACTGAAAGGATAGAGTCTAGAAACCGAAATTCACCATTATCTGTCTGTCTGTAACATTTGGTACAAGTGACCATTTTCATGGTACAAAAATACCACGTTGGTGGTAAAGGCGACCATTTATTTGACAAAATTGACCATCTTCATTATAGAGATGACCGTTTCTGTGGCTCAATTCACCATTTCTATGGCACAGTTGACCATTCTTATGACTCAAATGAGCATCTCTATGTCACAATTGGCCATGTCCGTATTAGAAATGACCATTACTTTGGCATAAATTACTATTTTAGTCGTTATAATTATTTAAAGTATAAACTTTGTCATATACATTAGTATCTTTCAATATTTGATGTGAACTGTTTGAATATATCTATAGTATGTAATATAGAGCATGTTACAAATATTAATAATTTCTCCTAAACTCATCATTATACAGAATTCATTTCCATTTAAAAATACAAGAACATCTTTGTCGTCATTCCGTCAGTCTAGAGTCAAGTGAATCGACATTCAATGTCGCTGAACGTTACTTGTTATCGTATTATGACAGGAATACTCACTGCTTTTTTATGGATGTGGGCGTGGTTGAGAAGAAGTTGCTGTTAAATTGACACCCTCACTCCTCTTCTGTTTAGAGAAAACCAACGTATATATGAATATATGTGGAAGGTGACGACTAAATTGCATGATATCAGAGAAAGCAAAGAGAAGAAATATATCTAGTCGTCGTAGCAAAGACGTAACCGATGAAAAGTTAAGTTAGTTGAGATAACAATGAAAAGAAAGAAAGAATTAAAAGAGAAGTGAAGAAAATAAACAAGAAACGAGTATGTGAGGACGAAACCCGTAATAATTATTAATTCGCTTCTGTAATGTTGATTACGGAAGAGTAGTTCGCTTTCTGACCTTCGAAAGCTCCAAAAACGACCTTGCTGGTTGGTACAAGTGGTATTGTCAAGTTAGCTATAGGAAATTGCCAAAAATATTTCTGACTGATGTTTGAAAATAGAATTGTTCCATCGTCAGGTCTGAAGACCGATTTATTCCATTTACTTCCAGGTCTTTTATCTTTGAAGTAGTAATACTTATCATTTCCAAAGAGTAAGTCGGCACCTATCCCATTAGCCAGCATACCCGTTGTATTATTATCATCGATATCAATCAGAACTTGATGTTTGGAGTATTGTTTATCGTACGTAGCCGAGAACTTTAGCCATTTTGCTGTTTTGACAGCACTCAATTCACTGATTGACGGTGTAGATATAGTGGTAATTCCTGTAAATATGTTTAAGAATTGAAGTTTAGTAGAAAAAATTGAACTTAATATCAAGCTTTAATCAAGGCGGCTAAAAAAACTCAACTTCATTGCCCCCAGTTCGAGAAAGCATTCCATTCTTATGCACCACCTTCTAGAATTGTCGTTGTCAGTTAATCCACATAAGAGACAGAAATTACTTTTCTATTTGAGTTAGCTTGTCAGATTTTTCATAAACAATATATCAACTTTTCGTCAAACACAATTGAAGGTGTGGATGTGGATCTCATTTCAGATACACCCACATCCTCTACTAGATTAATGATGATGAATGTATTCAGAAAGTACAAGTTAGGAATTCAGATGAATATGGAAATCAATTTCTATGAAACCATATTTAGGTAATATTTTCCCAAAAGTATTAATTTTGAGAGCTGTATTTTCAATTCAATGAAGTAAATGATGATATCAGAAAAGAGACTATAAATACTCGAATACAGAGACTTTGCCTTAGAAATGCATCATTTCATGATGAACCTATTTTACATACTACTCTGTGTGGATTAAATGAAAAGATGCCACTAAGAACCATAATGACATCGTTGGCGAACTTTATTGTCCTCTGTTGTTTTCAATTTTCTTCGTCTAAATAGGTAAATAGACATGTAAAAGGTTTCAATATCTGCACTGAACTAGGTTTCGGCTAGTCAGGTAATGCCAGCGTCGTGTGTAACCAAACCGCAAAAGCCGTAAATCAGGTGAAACACAAGCCTTTCGAGCCTACAATTCACTAATACTTATTATTTACTGAGAATATTTGGATGTGCGGACGGTAGTTATGAAAATAACTGCGCGTATGTTCACGAATTATTCATTCACTTCTACTATCATGTGGTCCATCCGTTCTCGTTCACCAAAAGCCAGGAAAAACAAAACTACGTTGTCATTGCGATTTTCAGCTTAAGAATCTAGAAAAATAAAAAGAGACAAAGAAGAGAAATCTTTTTTGACTTTTCACACACACTTCGCTATGATATCCGCTCAACTAAATCACATCTAGAATTTCACGATCTGTTACGCATAGAAAGGTGACTTGTAGCTATCTTACTGAGGATGATGATTCATTTACTTATGTTTAGCAGAACAAAGACGTACGCATTTGAAAGGCATAAATTGAAAATCTGAAAAATTAGAAAGCAGAAAGTCATCAGAACAGAGGCGTTGAAAATCAGAAATTTTCTCAAAAATTAGAAAATCTGACCGCCTCAATCACGGTTAAAATGACTCCATTGTATTTCACATTTTAATCCCATATGGATTGAGCTGGAACTTCTACCTATTGATAATGGATAGTCGATATCATTACCTTCTTCTGTTATAGGGATTGATATGTGTGTAGTAGTTGTCATGGTAAGTATTCCATTATTAAGAATAATAATAATAGAAACAATTGTTATAATTAAAATTAAAAGGAAGACTGATAGTAATAATCCAATGATACGAATACGCTTGCGTTGTTTTGGTTTTTTCTCATTTTCTAATGGATTTTGATTATCATTTGGATCTTCACATTCTTCTAATTCGATTTCAACCGAAATCGATGATGTTATATCCTCAAAATAATTTCGTTTAATATTTGTTACTTTAAAAACGGTAAATGGAAGAATTAAAATTTCTTTTTCTTCTGGGTTCATGGACAAACATTCGATATTGATAGCTGTTGAATTTTGTTTCACTAAATATTGACATAAACATGAATATTGTAAAGCACGTTGGCCTTCAGGCGTATGTCTCATTTGGGATTGTTGTCCTTCACCAGCAAACATTTTAGCTACTTGACGATCAATAGATGTTGATAAAAACGAACGGTTTAATACATGCTGATTTAACTGATATCGATCTAAATCATTTTGTGTTATTATCATACCACGATAACATAAACCTTGATATCGATATTGAGATAAATTTGGATGATAAATTAATAGTGTAACCATATGC